TTTGCCTCCTCCTCTCTGTGGGCTGATTCGTTTCTCTGCTGGGCGCTTGTCCAGTACCCTGTCACCTCTCACTCTGTTGCGGCTGCCCACTATTGGACCACTTCATTAGCTTTCCACCTCTGTCATGCAGCTCTGCTCCCAGCTCTGACAATTGGTCAGCGCTCCCGCCGAGGATGCCTTAACGTGTCAGGTTAAGGGGGCAACAACAGCCAACAGTCTGCTACGGTAGGAAGGCTTTGCTACATGAAGCAGCAACTGTGCAGCCACACATCACTGGATGCTGGATGCAGCAGGGGTCCCTTACGAGTGCAAGCGCAGCACGGTGGATGATGGAAATGGCTGGCAAGCCTCCGTGCTGCGAGGACTACAAGGAACATATGAATGAAGAGCGTACAAAAACCATGCAGATGGAGAAAACAGTCCAGCTTCTGCTCGTTCTTTGGATTCGTCAATTGCAACATCTCCCACAATTGTACTAGGCAATTATTCGCCGTGACCAGAGTCACACCCAGTGTCACTTTCTCTGAGAGGAAGAGACAATGTGTGAACTGTCATTATTGAATTAGGTCCAGCAAGCATGTGCAGGAGCCTGCATTTCAAAGCATTCCCCGGCTTTCATCTTCAAATCAAAATGTGTATTGCAACTGGATGGCTGGCAGTCGTGTCAGCGCAGAGGAAAATCAAAGTGGATTAGTCTGAAACTTAGAGGAGAACCAGGCAGTCCAAATAAATGATAGGCCAATTATGTCAGAGGTCAGCGAGAGTTCACCTCATGTGTGCGTGAGCATGTGTGTGTTTTGCCTGGGGAAATCTAAAAGCAGTAGTATACTATTTTACACTTCATTCTTTATTCTATCTCTAGTTCTCTAATTCCCTTCCCTTTTTCATTCTTTTGCTTCGCTCTTTCCCTCATGTACCCCAAGTGGGAGTATGACAACAGCAGATAACACTCAAGACACTACTTAAGAAATTTGGAGGATGTGCACAAATACGTTGCCACGTTCACTGGTGCACAACAAGCTGCAGTCCTAGTCAAAAAAATAATAATTACATTTGCAAATCCCTAATTGGTACTAAATCACAAATGTATGATTTCTAAGCAGGGCTGTGACAAATAATTACTTAATCAATCAATTATTTGTTTAAAAAGCCACACATACATATACACAGACACACATGATTTCCCAATCCTAGTCCTTTCCCAATCCTGTACCCCTCTCTCTCTTACTTTGCATCCTGTCAATTCTCTGTGATCTACAGTTCCAATTATAAAACTACTAAACTATTACTAAACTAGTGTACTAACATGCTACTACAAGTATTTAATTAGTAAACTATCAGTATACCTATAAGTTCACTTTTAGTATAGTTGCAGTACAAGCTAAAAGTATTGATGTAAACTAGTTGTGTAGTCGATCAAAAAAAAAACAATCTGTAGATTTGAGGTGACATCTATTAGAAAGTCACGTAGTGTATGATGATCACAGACTTTTTAGCTTCAGACTTTGATTCCATCCAGTCGGAGGAGATCAAACACATTTGATATTTTCAGCAAATTTTAAAACACATTGTTTTCATTTGTCACGTGTCTCCTAGCAACAACGTGCACGTTTCTATGTGAATTTGTGGTGATCGGAAGGAATTTAAAGTCTGCTAGTGTGAGATCCTCAGTTGTTTAGTGTATGATGCCCCGTTTTCCTTTGTGACTATTTACAAAGTCTGTACGTGTATGATGCCTGGTGTTTTAAAAATCTGTTCAGATTTTAAGTCGTGTAGTGTATTCCAGCCTTTAGTTGCTTTTTTCCTGGACAGATACGACAGGTTTCAGATGGCTCCTTCTTTGTACGGACGACATGCCTCTTTCATCTTTGGGCATAAACTATAGTTACGTCTAGATTTTGTCATCTTAAAGCTTGAGCTTAATTGGAGCAGCAACAATGTTTTAATACATTTCATGTAATATTTATTAAAATGACAATATTTAGCAAAATAAATAATCTAGGTCATGTATTAAGTTCATACATATTTTATTATGAACAACTATTATTAACAATATCTATGAAATTATACTTTTACTTATTGATGTCACACTGAAGCTGTGTGATTTTCGCACACAATCTTATACAGCTAGTCAGCTAACTGTGTTCTGTAGCATCTGAGCTATGTTGCTAAAACTATCTTTTGGATCTAACTGTAATTATTTCCCACATCCAAGTTCCATGTTATAATATACAAAAGTCTAAACATCAATCTCTTAATTTTACAATAAGTAGTGAAACTTACCCAAAATAAAGGCTTAAACATCAAAAAATGCACATTTAAAGAGCTCCTCTTTTGGTGAAAGTTTTCAGACAGCTTTCAAAATGGCCGCCGGACAGTATGAACACACGGAGAACCATATCTCAGTGTGCAATGATCTGATTGACTTGAAATTACAGGAGGTATGCAGCAATAAATACATCAATTGGTTAAGACTTCAAGTAGGATAATACATAATTTTTTCTTTTTATAATCTCAGCTCAAAAATGGAAATGTGCTTAATGGGTACGTGAGCTTAATAGGTACGTTTACCCTACACTTACAAGTATACTACTAGTACACTGATATTTGTATACTTACTACATAAAGTATACTTAAAAATATACTTGAACTTTACTTAAGTATACTTAATAAAATAAACTTGAAGTATACTACTTTTTGGTAAGGTATGCCAATTGAAGCAATGCATGTTTGTGTAATTTCAGTGCTTAGTGGTGTGCCGTAGGATTTTTTTACTTATTAAAACTGTGCCTTGGCTAAAAAAAGGTTGGGAAACACTGACTTAAGAAAAGCAACTTCTCAGAGACAGTTTCAGCGTCCTGACAGTTTTAGCACACGAGAAATGGTGTCACTTAGATCATCCCTGTTAAAGAACCGCTGCACAAATTATTAAAGGTAATGCTAAAATTACAAAATAAATCTAGACAAACTAGTTGACTGAGGACTATCCTGGGGTGCGTTTCCCAAAAGCAACTATGGTCGCAAGTTCAGTCGCTACCAATAGAGTTCAATGGAACTAACGACCATAGTTAGCTAACGATGCTTTTGCGAAACGCACCCCTGATCCATTTCTATCCAAACGTTAGATTCTGTAGTGGAGCATCTCCCACTTGGAAAATCTTGCCTCAGTCTAGCAGGACATAGCCACTATATATTAACTCCAGCCTTGCATTGCTGAGGAGTCTATCTAGTCCTCTGGGACCTAAACCCATTTGTTTGGGAGTCCAGGAACACAGTGCCATGGGCGACAAGGGGGCGGCAGTGCACTGAACGCAGACTCTGCACGTTCTACCAAGACGGAGATAAAGTTAACTAAGCAGGAACAGTCCCTCTGCATCCAGGCAAGAGGTCACACGATGGAGCTGAGGGCGCTAATCATTTCAAATTACGGATTCCTTTTTAATTATGAATTATGCATGAATTTTTAATTAATCTAATGTTCCGAAGGTTTTCCTTTTTTTTCTGTTCCGAGATCTCAATCTAATTACTCTGCATTAAGCGAGGGTGCAGCGACCCCGTTGCCGACCTTCTGGGTAACCATTGGTCAGCCCTCTCGCATCAATCTCGCTGCTGTCTCACAATTACCTATACTTTCAGCTACAACAACACGTATTTAATGGTCTAAAGTTTGGAGTTTAATAACATTAACAAGTGACATTGTGAGTTTTGTATTTTAACAGCTAAATTTCCTTTTCCCCCAAAAAAATTACTAATTGATACACTCAATATTAGCATAAGCATTATGATATTGTCTGTAACACTCAACAATTAGGGTTAATTCATTGAATTTAGTTAATGCATTAGGTATCAATGAACAATACTTTCACAGCAGTCATTAATGTAGGTCAATGATACTAATAATAATGATAAAAATGTCTACATATCGTATTACTTTTAACATTTCAGACTGTATAAATTAACTTTAATGCTGAATTTTCAGCAGCAATTACTTCAGTCTTCAGTGTCACTTGATCCTTCAGAAATCATTGTAATAAACTGATTTGCTTTTCAAGAAACATTTCTTATTTTTATTATTTTTATCAATATTTTTGTGGAAACCATGATACATTTTTGTCATGATTCTTTGATGAATAGAAAGAATTTGAACTCTTATTTGAAATAGATAGGAAGTCTTTACCATTTTTGTTACAATAAATGCATCACTGTTGAATAAAAGTATGATTTTTTTTTTCTTGCTGACCCCAAACTTCTAAGTGGTAGTTTAAATAAACATGAATTTATAATTTAATATATTAGCTAATAAAATATTAATCTAGGTTTATTAACCTAGATTAATAAATGCTGTAAAAGATTGTTGTTCATTTATAGATCAGATATCTAAGGCATTAACAAATCTAAATGTAAAGTTTAACCATATTGTTTTCTTTTAATTTCTGGAAACATATTAATTAGCAATCTTATCACTAAACAATAATCAATATTAATTATATTATTCAGCATAATCTAGGATATAGTTTGTAAATTCGTTTCAACCTAAAGCCAAGTATCCTCTGTGTCAAGAAAAATGGCACTGAATATACGTGTAATGCCTTCAACAAAGACTATAACTGACTTATCAAAAAGTCACAGACTTACAATATTTTTATTGCAGCCTTAAATATGTATTCTAAAACCTGTTAAAAACTGACAGACCTAAAAAATAAAAAAAAACAGCATCAGGCATCAAGATGGTAAAGTACAGCTATAATAAACAGGCTCTCTATGGTAGAGCGGTAACTGAGGTTAAGAATTAATCAAGCAGACACAGTCCTGCAGGATCTTGGCTTTGGGTTCCCATCCAGCAAGCCGAATTCTACTGCCTTTGCCAACTCATAATTATATTAGCAATTCATTCATCCTAAATGGAAGGAATTATGGATAAATCAAGCTGGTTTACATAATCAAACATCTAATTCCATCACATTGCCCTTTTACATTGTGGTTTAACTGAGATCTCTTACCTGAAAGCTTTATGAGGAGGTCCGTAGCTGTCTTGGTGGTGATATCTGAGCTGAAGAGCGAGGCAGCTGTAGGTCCAGGCCCCGGTGGACTGGATTTGAGCCCAGGCAGATCCAGAGAGCTGCTGCTGCTGCTGGGTCGCTCCCTACACAGGGCAAAGGGAGACATCACAGACACATCCCTCTCCTGGGGTTCCTCCTTGATCTGGACGTGATTCGAGGGTTCTGCAGGGGAGGCCAGCAAACGACCATCAGGTTGGCTCGCAGTGGGAGATGTGGAAGCATCTGTGTTCATGACCTGATCACCAGCGTCTCCACCGTCCCCCATGAGCAAGCCCTCGCCCTCCTCTGTGTCTGTGCCGGGTTCTTCTTTGACTTTGAGGTCGGGACGGGGGAAGTGCTGATGGCAACGCATGTGCAGCTTGAGGCTAAAGTGGCGGGAGGATGTGAAGGGGCAGAGCTCACATTGGAAAGTCTCCCCTCGGTCTTGGTGCTGATGGACCTGAGAAGAGCAACAGAAGAAATAATTTTAATGGATTAATTCTGATTCATAAAAAAAAAAAAAAATGCAATAAATAAAAAAAAAAAAAAGATTGTGTGCTGTGTAAATGCCCTCTCAACTGTCTCTAATTACTGTGGGCTGTGCCAACAATAGGTTTACATTCAATGATATGTATATATAAATAAACAATTTATTGACTTTTAAGGCCAGTTTTTATAATGTCTATTTAATATTGTCATCTGCCACGATAATATATTACTTTTGAATTGCCTTAATTTAGAGGCTTTTCCCTGCAAATATTTATAAATGTGATTAATTGAAATTATTTGGTATATCATTTGATACTTACTTTGATTAAAAATATGAAATGACAGACCCTAATAATTTTGCATCATAAAAAAAATCTGCATCTAGAGACGTTATGATAATTGATTTGATGTGATTTATGGCACAAGCATTTCTGCTCTCAGCGATTGATGTCACCTTCATGTGGGATTTGAGATTGTCTTTACGAGCACAGCGAAAGGGACAGAGGTGACACTGGTGACTTTTTAAGCCTGTGTGGATCACCATATGTCTCTTCCAGTAGCTCTTTCTCTTGATGACGAGACCGCACACCGGGCACTGAAAGGGCTTCCCTCCATCCTCAGGAGAACCTGCAATAAATAAATAAACAAACAAACAAATAAATAATTAAATACATGAATAAAATACATGCATATAGAGTTTATACTAAATATTAAACCCACAATTAAAAAAAAAAAAAAAAAATTACACATCTATTACCACCATACTTGCATTTTATAAATGTTATGTTTTTGTTATTATTTATGTGTATTTGTTGCTAGTGATATATTGTTCGAAAAATGTCTAGTATCTACATAGAACCATTAGCTGGACAATGATGCCACATTATCAGATAGCCCTTTGGCATGCAGTAACATGTAGGCTAAATATCTCTTGTCAACCTTGCATCTATTCGTGTGAATGAGATAAAAATTGTGAGCTATGATTACTCCGATCAATGCCAAAGACTCCTCACAAAGGAAGCCAAACACAAGGATGTTTTTAGTAAGCCGATTATTGTTGTTGGCTCCATATCCGGTGTCCATTAGGGCTTAATTGGCCTTATTAGAAGCTGGCATGATTGCATTACAAATTCTACGAGGGCCTGTCAGGATGGCTTCATAAGTATTCCAGTCGTGTTCCTCAAAAAACATCTGGTAATCAGTGTTTGGCGAAATTACCGCGCTCAGGCATTCATTGACCCGGGGTGTAAAACTTCGAGACTGCCTATTTGCAACAATAAACCACCATCTGTGGCTCAACCTCTCCCGGCGAGATCACTGTGGAAACTGCTCGTGAGGTAAAAAGACTGAAGGTCTTTGGTATCAAGGGAAAGGAATGAGAGCCATTAGCTGGTTTCTCAAATTTTAATGTGCATTTGGTATTGTTTCATTACCAGACAAAAACTCTTTCCGTGACCATCTTATAGATCTCACATTCATAAAAACAAGCCAGGTGAAACTCGATTATGATTTTAATTGAGGCGTTCTTATTTAGTATTTAAACTTTACACTTCATGATCTGCCATATTATAGCCATTTACAACACATTTATCTCTCTTGTGATCGTGACTTTGACATTATTCTCTGTGTCTGCAGCTCCTTTCGGTCAATCCTGATTCCAAGCCACAGAGGTTTGAGAATTAGCAAAAGATCAGCCATATCTCAGGCGCTCAACCCGGGCCTGTGCTGAATGGAAACTCTGATGGTTGTGCCGGCTCTGGAGCCTGACCTAAATTCCGGGAGAATCTGCTGAGATGGTCCCCGACTGTTCGGGCTATGGGGAGCACACACACTGCCGGCCTCCGTTTGGCAGGCTGCACATCCGCGGGAGATGAGCTGGGTCTGGGAACGTGCCGCCAACTCCAGCAAACCCCCACTGTGCTAACAGACCTTTCCCAGATTCTCCAGCCAACCTCTTGCAGACGAAGCATGACCTTATAGCACTACTAAATCACTACACAGTGCATTCTTCAGTGGTGTAATTATAAAACATTTACGTACTGTTACCTTAAAAAAATTATTACCGTTAAGAAATTATTCTAATGTAAAAAAAAAACAGACTATCTGATTAGAAATTATCTAGCATGACATTTTCTATTTATTTACAAATGTTTTTTATTTTTATAACATTTTCTTTTATCTTTAATAATCTGTAGCAATAGTTAACATTTGATGTATATTAAATATGAATATATATCTATACCTTTGCAATAAGTCAATTCGTGAAATTTCATCCCTTCTAGATATTCCACAGTCAACTGTAAGTGGTATTATTGGAAAGTGAAAGCGTTTAAGAACATGGCTGAGCAGCTACATGCAAGCCTCACATCACCAAGTACATTGGGAACGGATGGAGGGTTGTAAAGCACGTCGCCACTGGACTCTGAAGCTGTGGAAACGTGATCTGTGGAGTGACGAATCACACTTCTCTGTTTGGCAGTCTGATAGAGGAGTATGGCAGTTTGGCAGATACCAGGTTAGAACTAGGGGTGCAAAGGTTCAACTTACTCACTGTTCGGTTTGTATCACGGAAAGTGCTGTCACTTTAAGAGAACGCACTGATCCAGTGCACTGATACTGTACGTTCAGTCGGCTATGTCTGCTAGGATACTGACCAAGACGGGCATTTTGACATAATTTTTGAGTGAATTTGTCCATTCAAGCACAATACTTCAAAGAGAGCTTAATATTTGCACGCGTTCTGAGACGCAGGTTCACGCGCTTCGGATGAGCGACCACACAGATCTACTCACTGCATGCGCGAGTTTGCGTCCTCTGGCTCTTTAATATTTAAACTGGCAAGGCTTAAAGCGTGTGTGGAGAACGGTACTGGTCGATTTTTTTTTTCCGAGAACCGTTGCACCCCTAGTTAGAACGTTACCTGCCTGTCTACATTGTGCCAACTGTAATGTTTGGTGGAGCAGGGATAATGGTATGATAATGATAATGTACCTTTACTTCCAGTGAAGGGAAGTTTTAAAGCTTCAGCATACCAAAACATTTTGGACAATGCTATGCTTCCAACTTTGTGGGACTCTTTTCTATTCCAGCATAAGTGCACAAAGCAAGGTCCATAAAGACTTGGCTGGATACGTTTGGTGTGGAAGAACTTGAGTGGCCTGCACAGAGTCTTGATCTCAACCCCATCAAACACCTTTGGCATAAACTGGTGGATAAACAGAGTTTGCGAGCCAGGCCTTCTCGTCCAACATCAGTGCCTGACATCACAAATGCTCTACTGGATAAATGGGCAAAAAATCCTGCAGAAACACTCCAAAATCTTATGGAAAGCCTTCCCAGAATGGTGGAAGCTGTTATAGCTGCAAAGGTGGTGGGGACCAACTCCATATCAATGTCTATGCATTTAGAATCCAATCTCATTAAAGTCCCTTTTGGTGTAATTGTTAGGTGTCCCAAAACGTATAGTGTCTATATAAGAAGGGCTGAATGAAAATGCAAATTCATTCTCTAAAATTATGTGGTTCTTGGTGGAAAAGTTGAAATACCCGGTTTCCCTGGTTCTTCTGGGACACAAAGCACTGCGCAACTGTGTGTTTCTGACACCTTCCTGGAGCTTCCATTACTGTACATGTAGATGCAAGAAACTGGTCTGCAGTGAGGTCTGCATTTAATGGATTCAGGTGTCTTATCCAGTGTTAATTTTGACAGGCATTTTTGATTTAGTCTTAGTCTTTATCTTGAGACGAAAATGTTTAATAGTCTTAGTCACATTTTAGTCATTTGAGTCTTTCATAGTTTTAGTCGACGAAAAGTCATTGCATTTTTGTCAACTTTTAGTCATTACTTTTAGTCATTACTTTTAGTCAAACTGCAGTTACCAAATAATATATATAATTTATCATTTTTGAAAAAGCAGCAGAATAAGACAATAAGACAAATATGAAAGAGATACAAACTAAACTAATTTTTCAGATACAGTAGGTTTACTTAACATTGATTTAACATATTTTGTTGGTTAACATTAATGACACGGATAGGTACTTAATTAGGAATGCTGTCCCTTTAAGACGGAAGGCATGTATGTAATACTGACACACGTTCAGTTTTCACCATAGACTGTAAAAAAAAACATGGACATAGTGTCCGTGACGTCACTCGTAGGGTTCAGAAGAGCATTTTTGAAGCCTACAGTGGGCGGAGTCGATCGCCGCCATCTTGGCAGCGCGTTACCGCGCGTCACACCCGGATAATCGAAAATGGGCAAAAAGGCGGGACGTGGGTGAAGCTGAGGCGCTAGT